CTCCTGCCAGGGCACGCGGATGCCCCCCTGCAGGCAGCTGCTCCCCTCGGGGTCGCACGTGTAGCCCTGGGGGCAGCAGTGCACATGGTCGGGGCAGCATACGGCCTGGGGGGCACAAAAGAAAGGGCCCTGAGCATGGCCCTGCTACACCCCACGGTCTGCCCCCTCCCCCCAACCTCCATCCCGGGTTGCAGGAGGTTGAGGGACCCTCCCCAGACCCGGCTCCACATATCAGCAGTGTCATGAGACAAACTGCACTAATAGGTCCCATCTGCCCGCCCCATTTCACTCCGTCCCTCCCCTAGCGCTGTGCACCCTGGTCTGGAGCCCAGCTCCAGTCCCCTGGGCGCACGGTGGTCTGCCCCCTCCCCCCAACCTCCATCCCGGGTTGCAGGAGGTTGAGGGACCCTCCCCAGACCCGGCTCCACATATCAGCAGTGTCATGAGACAAACTGCACTAATAGGTCCCATCTGCCCGCCCCATTTCACTCCGTCCCTCCCCTAGCGCTGTGCACCCTGGTCTGGAGCCCAGCTCCAGTCCCCTGGGCGCACGGTGGGGGGCTCCAGGGTCCCCCCCATGCCCTTGCCCCCTCCTGGCTGAGCAAACCCAGGTCCCTCAGCCTCAAGCATCCTGGTGGCCTCGTGCCCCTTCAATCACGTCCTTCCCGCACTGGGAGCCCCAAACCGGTCGCGGGATGCAGAGGAGGTCTGATGAACGCTGGGAAAAGGGGAATCTCTGGCTCCTGCCGGCTCCCCGCAGGACAGCTGGGATCCTGCGCCCCTGCCTGGGTGCTCAGAGCTACCCCCAGCTCAGACCACAGTGCCTTTCCAGCAGAGCGGCTGCCCAGCCACGCATCCCCAGCCTGTCCCATAGCAGGGGTCTGTCTGGCCTGAGACAGGGGCCCCTCTGTCCAGCAGGGTCTGTCTGTCTTATCCTCCAGGACTGGGGGGGGGGTCCTCTCTTCTGGGGGTCAGGACTTGGCCTTGCTCCTGTTGGATGTCACGAGGGGCTCCAGACTCTTCTGCACCTATCCACGTCCCTCTAAATGCAGCCCTGCCCTTGGGGGCTCCCAGGGTGCCTTCACCCTCCCCGTGGGGCTCAACCCCATCCAGAGCCTTCCACTCCCCCAAAGGCTCGGTCCCATCCCCTCGGATCAAGGTTACGTCCCCAGCCACAGGCAGGATCCCGCCACCCCCCGGACCTGCTCCAAGGGGCAGCACCCCCAGGCGCCCGAGCTCAGCCGGCAGCACGTGCTCCCGTCGGGGCAGCTCTTCTCCTCGTCGCACTTCACCTCCCGGCCCCGCGCCCGCGCCGGCATCTTCTCCTGCCAGGGCACGCGGATGCCCCCCTGCAGGCAGCCGCCCCCCCCCGGGTCA